ACCTCATTGCTGCCGCTCAGACAGAGGTGGTACCAATTCGGGCTAGGCGTCACATAACACTGGTTCGGATCGTCCTCGTAGATGGCACCCTGATGGGGGGAGGGGGGGAGAATGTGTTACTACAGGCAAAAGTGTAAGGAAAACACTACCAAAACCACCACTTACCATTGCGGCGCCCTCATTCAACCGATCCATAATTTCGTGGGAGCTTTGGTTGCAGAGAGAGTAGCGAACGATGCGGATGCCCTCACTCTCCCGCTCCGCATCAGTCATTGCGTAGTAGGCGTGCAGGTCGGTGTTGCCGATCCACCGCGTGCGATCGTCCTTCTCGTGGAAGTTGACCCAGCCCTGAATGACCTTCTTCGTGTCGATGTTCCAGCCGAGGCCCCAGGAGCCGTTGGAAAACTCGCTTTTCTTGCTGTCCAGCATCAGGTACTGCCCGTTTGGGTCGACGGCCGTACTGCAGGAGGGCACCGAGAGCAGGCTCTTCCACTGCTTCGTCTCCGCCAGCTCCGGCCACTGCTCGGTGATGGGCACCGGCGGCGCCGTGCCAAAGTACAGCTGGTTGATCGCACCGTCGGGCCCCTCCTTCACGGCCTTGCTGTTCAGCAGCCAGATCTTCAGGTCGCGGGTGACCACGGCGATGTCCTCCGTGAGGCGGCCAATGCAGAGGATGGGCTCCTTCTTCACCTGATCACCTTCGCTTACCAGCTTGCAGGGGTTGCTCTGAAGAGGAATGGTGATGATGATGAAGTGTTAAATTAGGTTTTCACTGCTTACCCCTGTGCTGTCAGCGCCCAGCGACTCTGACAACAGGTCAATGTCGGCACTCTGGCACCAGCCACTGCTGAGTACAAGGGAGAAAAGGACCAGAGAGTAGTAAACTTCACTAAACAGCAGAACCATCAACATCGCTGCTGAGAGGAGGTATTACTTCTGCTTAGAACCTGAGAGAGTGATTGTGTGACGCTGATGCAAAAGTACGCTGAATGTACGTGTCTAACAGTAGCAGGGTGGTGACGATTTATAGCAAAACTTTTGGGCTAACATTGCTGAAGCGGTTTTTCGATTTAGTTTTGTATTGTTGAGCAGCAGAAATCGACAGAGACAATAATTTTGACTGTTCACTCAAGTTGAGTTTCGCTCAGAAGCTGAGCTGGATGAGGAGTAAGATTTGTTGGAAGAGGAGTCACTGTCGCTTTCTTCTTCAACTGTTCCTTCTGCCACTCCTCTTTCTGCCTTTTCCTCCTCTTTTCGACACTCATCAGAGCTGTACCACCGAGTGTACGGCGGAATGAGCACCACCTGAAGAGTGGGCGGACCTGTCTGGAGAAGAGTGCTAAGCAGAGCTTGGTGACACTCCTGTCGTTGTTCCTCACTGGCCGTTCGGTGGTAGTCGGTGTAGGCGCAGCTGGAGCAGCCTGGGACGTCATAGTCTCGCAGCACCTCGAGGTGCAGTTTGCTGAGGTTCGGAAAGACGGTCGCCAGTTGGAAGGTGAAGAGAAGGTCGTGCAAAGGCACGTGCAGGCGGATGAGCAGGACTTGTACTGAGGAAAGGGGAACTAAAGAATTTTCTACTTCCTCTTTTTCTTCCTCCTCAGATCTCTTCATCAGAGTGGCCATCAGGTCGGGGTAGGCGCGAAGACTGAGCTCGAGGTAGGTCAGACTGGTGCTCATCGGAGCCAACGCCTTGATTAGTTGGCAGTACCGCAAGGAGGGAATCGTTTCGGTTTCCGACGAGCTGGTGCTTCCCAGCTCCACGCGAAAAGAGCGCAGTGAGGTGAAGAGGCGACAAAAGGCCTGCAACTGGGAAAAAGACTTCAGAGGGGCAATGAAGGCACGACTGAGGTGGGTGAAGCGACTGGCCAGTCGAGGCGAAAGGGCGAGCAGAGCGGGAAGGTCTCTCAGCAGATCACTGTTGCCGTATTCGATTTTCAGTGGCAGTGTCTGGTTATGATCTTCATCATCCTCTTCATCCAAATGAACCAACGCATCGGCAATCAAACTAAAACGGTCCTTGGTGAAGAGGCTAAACGTATGCAACTGCCGCATCAGCTCCGGTCTAAACTGAAATCGAAAAGGCTCTCCCTCATCGTCTGCTTCAATGTCATTGTGCAGGTGCAGCTCCAATTCCCGCAATTTTTGACAGCTGTTGATGACTTCGACGAGGCGATGAGCCTGTTTGCAGGGAATCAGACACTGTTGCTGCCCCTTGCCGCCACTTCCTCCTTCCCATATTTGCTGCAGGTAGAGCACCCAAAGCTTGAGAATGGTGAGCTGGTGGGAGTAGGTGGCGATCAGCGAGGTGGCCACCTGCTTCAGCGCCTGGCTTGGCGCCAGCTTGCGAATGATCACCGTCAGCCGGGTAATGTGCCTAAAGTCGGCGGTCCATTGGCTCACTTTGCGTTCGTTGAAGCTGAAGCTGACCACGGCGGACTTCTCGATCGTTCGTCGGAGGCGTCGCTTTGCCGCTCGATCCGCCGGCAGCAGAAGTCGTCGCTGGCAGGTCTCCTCGGTGACGATGTTCGTGTCCAAGGCGGAGGGAGAGGCGACGGTGAGGGCCATTTCCAGAGCGAGCTGATGTTGGCCGATTATGACGCTTAGCGTTCGTTTTCGGGACATCTCCTCCTGTTGGGCTGGTCGCCAGGCAGGTATGGTGATGTGAATGGTGAGCAGCGTCTCGAGGTCAAAGTTCCGTAGGAGCCATCGGGAGCAGGCGTTTGGAAGGTCCTCCAAAGGCAACATTCCTTACTAAAAGTACTTTCTGCTGGAGTAAAAAGTGGTGTGTGTGTTTTTGCAAGACTTCTGAAACTGTTCTACTCAAGGTGTTTGTTGTTGTTTACATTGCCGAACAAAAAGAAAGTGAATTGTTTGAAAGCGTTCCTTTTGTGACAAAGTAAACCGAAAAGCGCCGTTTTGTACTCGCATTCTCTTTGTTTTCATAAAGCCTGCTCCAGTTGCCATCTTCCAGCTTTGTTGAAATATGTGTTTGAAATGTCACCTGATGAGTTCAATTAGGCGCGGTTGAGCAAAAGCCTAATGATGCATGGAAGGTGCAGCAATAACAAACTACCACTGCCGTCAATTGTATGCTCAATTGATTCTGTCGATGTTAGGCAACAGAACCGATGATGATGATGCTCAACGGCGTATGTTTCCTTCGCTGACATATAAAAGACAAAACTGGTGTTGATTTGGAGTTCAGTGATGATGCTTTTTTATTCAAATTAGCTCGACATCATTGTTCATCATGCTGGTGGTGCACACTAACTTTAGTCATCTCCTCGTTGGAGTCCTCATTATCATCCTCTTCTTCAGCGTGGAAGATCAGATATTGGCAAAAGAAGAGCAGCTCTGCAAAACAAAGCCACCACTCGGCTACGACTTTGGGACGTGCATCACCGAGGAGACCGCCAAAGAGGCGACCAACCGGACGAGGTGTCTGTACTTCTTCAGCGACCCGGCCAAGAACTGCCAACAGCTGTACAGCGCAGAGGAGAGGCCGCTGATGCTGGGAGAGTCTGGCAAGGAGAAGAAAAAGTCATAATTAACCTAACAGTACTATTCATTCATTCAGTTCATTTTGTGTTCAGTAGTTCATCAGATTGGAAATAAAGAATCATCCGCACTTTCTGATGTGATAAAAAGCGTTCGTTGTATTCGAAGATGTTGGCGGTTGGCAACCAGAGGGTTTGAATTTTGTCCGCTGGCGGCGCTGCTGTGCTCAATTTCGTCACATCGCAGGCTGCAACTGAGCAAGAGCAGCACTTCTTTGTTATCGCCATTGTCCGTATCGGAGAGAGGCCATCATCTTCGTCACCTCTCTTCCTTCAAAGATCAGCCGCGAACGCCTGAAGCTATGGCTTCCTACTTTCTAATCCGAAAGCAGGAGCACTGCTACAGTGGAATCTCCTCAATGGCCCTGGAGGAGCTCAAGGCGGAGCAGTTCCTTAACCGCCTCTATGAAAGCAAGGCCAGCATTGGCTCTCGATTCTATGTAACCGAAGATGGAGCTGGCCAACACTACAGCGGAAGTGACTTTTCTGTGGACTATGGTCAGAAGATGAAGATGATGGGGAACGAGAGCGATGAAAACGTTGATCCACAGAAGATCTACACTGAAAAGAAGGCTCCGCTTTTTGAGCCCTCAAAACAGCAAGTTCCCATCTACAACTCGGCTGTCAGTTCGGGAAACTACATTCATCTGCTTCTTGAAGCGGCTAAATATTTAGAGAATGTCTCGTCTGACAGCGGAGAGTCGAGTGGCTCAAACAACGGCGAATCAGATCCGTTCGAAAGTAGCTTCGAAGTGACTTCGCCCTTTAAATCATCGACTGATGAGGAAAAAGAAGACAGCGACGATNTGTCTCGTCTGACAGCGGAGAGTCGAGTGGCTCAAACAACGGCGAATCAGATCCGTTCGAAAGTAGCTTCGAAGTGACTTCGCCCTTTAAATCATCGACTGATGAGGAAAAAGAAGACAGCGACGATCATCTTTGCGAGTATGTTTGTCGTTCGACTCGCATCAAAACGAAGAAACCTTACTTCGGTGTTGAAACCATGGAAGAGAATTCAATTTCATCATCGCCTCCTTTCAGGGGTAACTCTTCGCACAACGCGGCAATCGATCGAGATTACACTTGCGATGATACTGGCGTGCTAGAGATCGTCTACCTGAAGTGTCTCGTCAAAGACTGCAACGCGGCACTGCTTACCAAAAGTGAACTTAACAAACATCTGCAGGATGTACACCAAATGGGCTCCTATCGTTGCGTCATCCACGACTGCCTCCAGAAGGCGGTCAGCTTCACCGAGAAGTATTCCTCCCCCAGTGCAGTACTCTACCCTCATCAACTCATCATCGTCCCGTACTTTCCCCCTTTCCCCACAGGAGCGACTACACCGCCCACTTGGAGCTGGAGCATAGCGGCAAAGGAGGCGGCGGTGGCAGCTGGGCTGATATCATCATCTGCGGCCAGTGCTACAAGTACTTCAAGAACGCCGCCGAGGTGGCCAAGCACTACTTCCAGGAGCACGAACTGGGGCACTTTCTCTGCGGCGAAGGCTGTGGCTTTGAGTCCTTCCTCAATCGTGCCCAGGTGCTGAAGCACCGCCGCCAGGCGCACACCGGCCTGAAGTGCCGCCTGCCCTGCAGCCAGTGCAGCAAGACCTTCAACAAGTTGCCCGACCTCAAGCGTCACCTCGACTTCCACGACGGCGTCAAGCCCCACATCTGCGTCCACTGCGGCGGCGCCTTCACCCTGAAGGGCGACCTGAAGAAGCACGAGCGTATTCACACCGGAGA